GGCGAACATAACCATCGCTTCAATTAGATTTTTTAATGAACTGTATGTTTAATAAAGCACCTAGAAACTAAATTCCTTTGGAACAGCAATCAAAGTGTCTTAATACTCATTGATTGATTTTAAATGTGGTCAATTATATACCTATGTAGGTGTCCTCCCTCAAATATTATTCTAGGGGGGTAAAAAGGCTCAGAATCCTTCGTCTACAAACTAATAGACCCAGACATATGTCAATTGATGCTTCATAAAGTAATCTTTCAGAAAAATCATGTCTAACAAGTGGCCCTCTGACTTCCCAAAATGCTTGCTGTAGACTGGACTAACTGCTATGCATGGCATGGGTTTTGGATATACTAGAAAGAAGAAACCACGGATTGACGGATGGCTACACTATATCGTTTGTTGGGATAATTGCACACTTTACCCTCATGAACCAAATTTTAACATGGGTACAGTACTTTGAATTAACACATAGCTATTAGCCTTGCCCAAGTCGGTCTCTTTTACTTATCTTGATTTCTATTATGACCGCCTTGTACCAATGAGAAAGCCACGTGCTTAACTGACATCATGTTTATGCCGGTAAATTTGACTAATCAACAACGGCCCTGCAGCGTTGGCTCATTATTATGCACAATCAAATCAAGTACACTTTTCAAGAACAAATCCTCTCGCAAATCTTGCACAATTCATCATGAAAATGCAAATATTTTATCAGATAAATATCAATCAGAGTTTAATGGATGCCAGAGCATCATTCAGATACCCAAAGGTGAGATTTCAACAAGAAACGTTGAAAACCGGGGTTGAAAACATCGCTAAAATTGACGAACAAGCTAGATCTAGGCCGTGATTCAGATCAATCACTGAATTAGATCGACGACTACATGGACTAGGTCTTTGTGCAATTTCATCGCGAATCCAGTTTTAAATCAACATTGAATTGTTTGATTTAATTCATATTAATGACTGCTTAAATTCCAATGTACATTTAATTACATAATAAATTGAAACTCTGAAGAAATACTAGATCAGATCATTGAATTTCAAGCTGTAGACAGGTAGTTTGCCTTGTTTATGTGGGTTACCCTGAAAAACGTTTTGATTGGTCAATCAGCCTGTCACGTCGTGTCATCAGCGATGATGCATTAGATTGTACAAGGCGGTAATAATTCAAGATCAGGGCAAGTAAAAAATGCTGACTTGGGCAAGGCTACATATAGCTAGGCATGATATATATCACATCCCAGCCAATCAGAACTCTGTAAATGATATAACCAGAACAACGGCAACGCCAAAGCGTAGCGAATCCCATCGAACAGAAATGGCTGGCATTTTTACAAACGAATAGCAAATATCATAAAACATACACACCAGAAAGGCCACCATTTTCAAAATGGTTGCTCACTAGCCAAGTTGTCATCAGAAGAAATAATATGCTTTTAAGCAGCCACCTCTAAAATTTTTGAAAAATCGCACACTTAATTGTAAAATAACACACATAAAAATGGTGGCCATTTTTCAAAATGGCCGACTACTCCCCAAAGTCTTATTAGACAATGTGCCATGCTTAAAGTATTCACATATTAAATATGAACAAAATCGCTCCACTACTTTTCGAGTTAAAAAATATGTTAAAATGGCGGCCATTTTTCAAAACTTTTTTCAAAATGGCCGCCTTCTACCAAAAGTGTCATAGGACAGTGTGCCATGTTTATAGTATTTACATACCAAATATGAACAAAATCGCTCCACTACTTTTCGAGTTATAGTAAAATACGTGAAATGGCGGCCATTTTTCAATTTTTTTTTCAAAATGGCCGCCTTCTACCAAAAGTGTCATAGGACAGTGTGCCATGCTTATAGTATTCACATACCAAATATGAACAAAATCGCTCCACTACTTTTAGAGTTATAGTAAAATACGTTAAAATGGCGGCCATTTTTCAAAATTTTTTTCAAGTTGGCCGCCTTCTACCAAAAGTGTCATAGGACAGTGTGCCATGCTTATAGTATTCACATACCAAATATGAACAAAATCGCTCCACTACTTTACGAGTTATGGTAAAACATGTTAAAATGGCGGCCATTTTTCAATATTTTTTTTCAAAATGGCCGCCTTCTACCCAAAGTGTCATAGGACAGTGTGCCATGCTTATAGTATTCACATACCAAATATTAACAAAATCGCTCCACTACATTTCGAGTTATAGTAAAATACGTTAAAATGGCGGCCATTTTGAAAAATGGCCGCCTTCTACCAAAAGTGTCTTTAGACAGTGTGCAATGCTTATAGTATTCACATACCAAATATGAACAAAATCGCTCCACTATTTTTTGAGTTACAGCAAAAATCGTAAAATGATGAGTAAAGGCCGCCATTTTTCAAGATGGCTGCCATGTGCTTCTTTAATATCTACATTGTAGCACTATTAATGTCCTTTATAATTTTTTTACATTTAAAACATATTGCTATTACAGTTTTACATATTGCACCTCAATTACTGTAAAATCGGCACTAAAATGGCCACCATTTTGAAATGAGCGGCCATTTTGAAAATCGGCTTTCGAGCAGAACTTCTACCCCCATAGGGTATATGTATACAAAATATGAACAAAATCGGGCCAACGGTATTTGAGTTATTGCCCGGACGGACGGACGGACAGACGGACGGACGGACGGACGGACGGACGGACGGACGGACGGACGGACGGACGGACGGACGGACGGACGGACGGAGGCGTTCCCTATATCCCTCCGAACTTCGTTCGATGGGATAATAAGCATTATATACTTTTGCAATGGGCGAATGGTTATTTTTAGAATCTGTGAAATTAATTTTACAATTTCAAGTTAACGGTTGAGTGAGAATCTTTAGCCTTCGTTCAAAGTCTCATACAAGACATTGTGCTTAATATTATACACAATTCAGTGAACCATGAATTTTTTTAATAGATTACATGAGAGAGGTTTAACATTGTATTTTTATTGAAATATTTATTTACTTAATCTTACTTGTGTTTAGATTTTCCTGTATCAGTTCTTTGACTTGGTCTACTACATGGCGCTCAGGACTCTCTAGTAGACTAAACAGCTCACTGGCATCAACATGGGAAGCCATGTTCTCGGGAAGTGTTATGATTTAATCATTTATTCCTGTTTGTATTTGCACTATATCTTCTGTTCTTTTCTGGTTAAGCTGCACCTGGAGTGAAAAGCATCTCTGGTGATTTCAGTACAGGGAGTTCATCAAGTTCATTTAGAAATCTCCAGAGATTTTGAATGCTCACTCTTCTTCCTGAATTTCTGTCAAAACTGCCATTTTGATTTCTCGCTCGAAAATGTCTTCTCAGGGACAAAAAGTCCTGATCAACACAGAAGAAGCTGATAACTTATGGACTTTTGTAAATGGAGGATGGAGATGTAGGGAACATTAGGAGATATAGAGTAAGCAGCTGATTTCAGTTTCAGTCGTCACAATCCTCTAGCCTTTGGCCGCCCAAATTAATAGATCTGCATTTCCGGTGAAAGCTAGTTTTGTCTTGATTAATCGATACATCGCGATATACATTGCCAAAAGTGATTCTGGTGATCCTTAAGTGGGAGACATTAATAAACATCAACCATCAAAAGTTGTCACAATGAGCTAAATTTCATGTCTCAACAGACAGTGTTAGAGAAAGATCTCTAAGAAGTTAGAGAGTGGGGAACATAAAGAATTACTATAGCTAGGAAAATTACATGCTGTTGCACATGTAATAAATTCTTACCTCAGTGTATTTAGTGCTCTATTTTCTCCGTCCTAGTAAGTCCAGATATAGTGGAATTTGTGTCCATAATGACAAATAAGAACTTAAAAATTTGAATGGGATATTCACATGTTAATGCCGACTCTTCAAATGTTGAGGTGATTTTGGAGCCCGATTACGCCGCAATGTGGATTGGCTCCAAGAATTCAACATGACATGTGCCAGCTTTCAAAATGCCGTTCCGCCATTTTGAAATCTGTCATGAGTAAATAGGTTAACTGATGTTGCATTCTGGGAGTCAATCCTCCTTGGATCACGGACGTCAAGTAAGTTTCTGGCCGAAGCTGGAGCATAGATTATAAAGAGGACTGGAAACAAGATTTCAAATCTGCCAACTAGTGTTGGCCTATTTATCACTATTGACTCAGTTGTTCTTCTAGTTTTACTTACCTTAGATGCTTAGTAATCTATTTAGTATAATATTGTTTCCAAAATTATTGTCATTTGCGATAATTAGTACTAAAAGTACTTTGAACAGGTCAGCTGCCATTTGCTTGGCTCAATCGTACCAGTCCACAAAAACAGTGAAATCATATTAAAAATACCAATAAAACTTTAAAATTGAGGCAGATGCGATACAAAGAGACTCTATTAATACAGATATATGGGTTACAGTCACCAAGATGAGCTAATCATTCTTGTTTCCAGTCCTCTTAAATAATCTATGCTCCGGCTTTCGCCAGAAACTTACTTGACGTCCATGCTGGATCACAAACATAGCAATTCATGAAAACATTCGTTCGATTTGGTAGGGATTTATCCATCATTTGCAGGTATGAAGCTTTGGATTCATTTATTGTGCTACTTAAAGTGAACGGGAATTATTTTTCTACCGCTTGGGAGAGTTTGAGACACGAAACTTAGAATTTAGCTTATTGTGACAACTTTTGATGGTTGAGGTTATTTTTGGTCACCACTTTAAACTACAGTGAACATTGGAAGATTCAGTTCAGTGGCAAATGAGGCATATTTATAAAGAAAATTTCGAATGTGGCAATATGAAAGGTCATCTTTGGGAAATCTCCCCCCCCCCCACCACAGATATAAATCAATTCAAGATTGATAAGTTAGATCTAGCACCAGATGAGATTCACCACAACTAACCCATGTCCAGTGAGCAATTAAACAACGACCCCCACCTCCTTCCATGACATGGAAATAATACCTAAAACGATCTGGATCATACAGGACTATCCTACTTTCCAGAATAATAGATAAAGATATAGAAAAGTAAAACTTACTTTCAAGTCAGAATAGCATGGGGCGTGTCGTGAGTCGGTGCTTGAAAGTTTTCTGACCAATCAAATTTGAGAGGAGTATTTACTCCGCAGTTTACAAAACAAGGCAACCATATTGGATTTTCTAATATAAAATATTTCGCTGACAAAATGCCTTGGGGATTCCAAACTTGCGGGCCTAATGAGGCCATGGTGGTGTCAGGTAAGACCTAAGTATATATTTCTAAATTTGAGCTTAAAATCATGTAAATCAAATTTGATTTCCTTATGAATAATGTGCATCAAATTCTGTTCCCCAAAATATATATGAAAAACAAGTTGATTTTTGGGATTTTTCAATATATTCCTCCAAGAGTCGTCTTCTTGATATATTTATACATAATCTATAAGAATTTGATAGTTTATTAACCAATAATTAGGAAAATATGTTACTTTTGTATATACATACATTGGCATTCAGTTAAACAATATTACGTAACACTTGACTCTTTCTCATGATTCACCCTCATTTGCAGGGTGTTGCGAAAGTGATAGCAAGCCACAGCTTATTCCTGGTGGTCGTGTTTTTGTATGGCCATATGTGCAACAGATTCAAAAGTGAGACCCCAGTGGGATATTATAGTCGCCCATGTGCATTCTTGATTTGTAGGGTTTTTAAATGTGCTTGGCTATTAGTGGACGATATATGTCACGATATAGGGTAGAGATTTTTGGGTTTTTATTTTGTGCTACTTTTGGACTTAGAATAAAATTTAAAATGACCAGGCATCAGGGACAGATTCAAAAAAAATTAGAACAGGACTCGATCAAAAGAGTTAACGTATAGCATAAAATGTACCCTCTTTCAAAACCAACACAAATGGCGAAAAGTAGCACTTTTCCAGAAAATTAAAAGAGTCCAGCATACAATAGATTTTCATACCTTTTTTCAAAACCAACACAAATGGCGAAAAGTAGCACTTTCCAGATGCCTTCCAGAAAATAAACAGAGTTTAGTCCAGTCTATCGATAGATTTTTATACCTTTTATCAAAACTAACACAAATGGCCAAAAGTATCACTTTTCCAGAAAATAAACAGAGTCCAGCATACGATAGATTTTCAAACCTTTTTTCAAAACCAACACAAATTGCGAAAAGTAACACTTTTCAGAAAATAAACAGAGTCCAGCATACGATAGATTTTCATACCTTTTTTCAAAACCAACACAAATGGTGAAAAGTAGCACTTTTTCAGAAAATAAACAGAGTCCAGCATACGATAGATTTTCATACCTTTTTTCAAAACCAACACAAATGGCGAAAAGTAACACTTTTCAGAAAATAAACAGAGTCCAGCTTAGGATAGATTTTTATACCTTTTTTCAAAACCAACACAAATGGCGAAAAGTAACACTTTTCAGAAAATAAACAGAGTCCAGCATTCGATAGATTTCCATACCTTTTTTCAAAACCAACACAAATGGCAAAAAGTAGCACTTTCCAGAAAATAAACAAAGTTCAGCCTATCGATAGATTTTCATCCCTTTTTTCAAAACCAACACAAATTGCGAAAAGTAACACTTTTCAGAAAATAAACAGAGTCCAGCATACGATAGATTTTCATACCTTTTTTCAAAACCAACACAAATGGCGAAAAGTAACACTTTTCAGAAAATAAACAGAGTCCAGCATACGATAGATTTTCATACCTTTTTTCAAAACCAACACAAATGGTGAAAAGTAGCACTTTTTCAGAAAATAAACAGAGTCCAGCATACGATAGATTTTCATACCTTTTTTCAAAACCAACACAAATGGCGAAAAGTAACACTTTTCAGAAAATAAACAGAGTCCAGCTTAGGATAGATTTTTATACCTTTTTTCAAAACCAACACAAATGGCGAAAAGTAACACTTTTCAGAAAATAAACAGAGTCCAGCATTCGATAGATTTCCATACCTTTTTTCAAAACCAACACAAATGGCAAAAAGTAGCACTTTCCAGAAAATAAACAGAGTCCAGCATACGATAGATTTTCATACCTTTTTTCAAAACCAACACAAATGGCGAAAAGTAACACTTTTCAGAAAATAAACAGAGTCCAGCTTAGGATAGATTTTTATACCTTTTTTCAAAACCAACACAAATGGCGAAAAGTAACACTTTTCAGAAAATAAACAGAGTCCAGCATAGGATAGATTTTCATACCTTTTTTCAAAACCAACACAAATGGCAAAAAGTAACACTTTTCAGAAAATAAACAGAGTTCTGTCTAGCGATAGATTTTCATACCTTTTTCAAAACCAACACAAATGGCCAAAAGTAACACTTTTCCAGAAAATAAACAGAGTTCAGCCCATCGATAGATTTTCATACCTTTTTTTGAAAACTAACACAAATGGCCAAAAGTATCACTTTTCCAGAAAATAAACAGAGTCCTGTCTAGCGATAGATTTTCATACCTTTTTCATAACCAACACAAATGGCCAAAAGTAACACTTTTCCAGAAATTAAACAAAGTTCAGCCTATCGATAGATTTTCATCCCTTTTTTCAAAACCAACACAAATTGCGAAAAGTAACACTTTTCAGAAAATAAACAGAGTCCAGCATACGATAGATTTTCATACCTTTTTTCAAAACCAACACAAATGGTGAAAAGTAGCACTTTTTCAGAAAATAAACAGAGTCCAGCATACGATAGACTTTCATACCTTTTTTCAAACGTAAAGGCTAGAGTACCGACAATTGTCGGTACTCTAGACTCTGATGTGGTGGCACGCTAGAGGACCGACAAATAAATTGTCGGTACGGGAGATATGCTGTGTTTACACGCTAGAGGACCGACAAATATTGATTTTCGAATTTTCTGGCGCATGCGCAATGCGCGGGGGGATATTTCAGATATCATACGGATATTTTGGGAACAAGTGCAAAACCCGGGGAGGGCATTAGCCCCGGTTACCCGGGGATTACCAAACCCAGGTCAAAAAATGGTAGCCCGGGAACAAGGAATGTTAGTAAACGTTGAAAGGCCCAATAAAAAACATGAACAAGTAAGACGTTAGAGAGCTATTAATGCAGAGTAAACGGCTATATATATTCTAAACAGATAGGATATTTCTCCTGAGCCGATCATGCGTAGAAAGGGGCGTTTGCTACCCATTAGATAGAAGAAAATAGCTAGAATGTTTTCTATTTGAAGCTTATGGTATGAGGTTCCATATCCATCCGCCAAAGGGTATATAGTCCATTTAAAAACCTGTGGTATCGTTCTAAATAATTACCCATAGTTGGCTTCTAGGGTACCTAGTATGCCACTATTTGGTGTCAAAATAAAGAGGAGTTCAACTTTCATTTTAATTACGAAAATAGCGATGTAGGTCAAAATAGTTCCGAACGTGAGCATGTTTACTACGCGTTTGCCCGTCATATCAGAATTGAGGAAGTGGTAGCAAACGCGAGTTACAATAAACGGACGCTGATATCTCAAAAAGTAACCTGACTCCCTATAATTTGATGTAGGTCAATCGAACCCCTATATGGACAGGTGCATTTTGATATATAACACTATGGGGGGTAAGCGTTTCATAGTTGGTCACGAACGCCATATGTGCAAAGTATTGTTATGAATTTGGTGTTGGATTACGGTACTCATACCTTATAGCACAATTTTTGATGGAAGTTGCATTTGGCTCCCTTAGTTTATGGCCACGATTCCATCTCGCATGAGAGAGCTACCAAACGCAAAGTAAACAGTGATATATTCCAAATGGGATATTTCTCTTGTGCCATGGCGTAGTAAGGGTAGAGAGCGACGGGGGCGAAAGCATCCCCTCCCCTAACTGTATATATCGACCCATTAGATAGAACAAGAAAAGAGCTTTAAAATGTTTTTTAATTGAAGTTTGTAGGACAATTTTGATGGAAGTTGAATCAATTTTTGTCGAAATAAATTATGGCTCACTACAAGTTAATGCCTGTACGATTCCATACTGGAAAAGAAGCACTATGTCCCCCTCAAAAGAAAAAAAGTAGGTCTTGCCGGGATTCGAACTCGGGACCGAATGTGTTCGAGTCGTGCTCGCTAACCACTAGACTACCAGTGATGTGGTTATTTCTAAAAGTAAAAGTAGTGGATTTATTTATGAAATTGTCGGCTCTCTAGCAAAAACACGTAGCAGCCACTTGCGTACCGACAATTGTCGGTTCTCTATCTGGCACTACTAGTTGACGATAGAGTGCCGACGATTGTCGGTACCCCAGCAAATACCCCCGGACAGTCTCCAGTACCGACAATTGTCGGTCCTGGAGCCACTCCGTTTTTCAAAACCAACACAAATGGCCAAAAGTAACACTTTTTCCAGAAAATAAATAGAGTCCAGCCTATTGATAGATTTTCATACCCCTTTTTCAAAACCAACACAAATGGCCAAAAGTAACACTTTTCCAGAAAATAAACAGAGACCAACCTATCGATAGATTTTTATACCTTTTTTCAAAAGGCCGTGGCTGGAGAGCCTTAAATATTACGGAGTGGCTCCAGGACCGACAATTGTCGGTACTGGAGACTGTCCAGGGGTATTTGCTGGGGTACCGACAATTGTCAGCACTCTATCGTCACCTAATAGTGCCAGATAGAGAACAGACAATTGTCGGTACGCAAGTGGCTGCTACGTGTTTTTGCTAGAGAGCCGACAATTTCATAAATAAATCCACTACTTTTACCTATAGAAATAACTCTAGCCTTTACGTAAATATTAAGGCTCTTTAGCATTTTGGTAACCAATTTGGCTAGAGAGCCTTAAATTTTAAGGTTCTTTAGCATTTTGGCTGAAAGAGCCTTAAATTTTAAGGCTCTTTAGCATTTTGATAGCCAATTTCGCTAGAGAGCCTTAAAGGAATTCTAGGCGACAGAAATGACAAAATATTGTTTCTGGGACAAGATCAAACGACTTTGACTATATTCTATACCCAACCTATTTTGTAATTTAACAATCAGCACAAATATACATACCATATTAGCAGATATCGGACAAATTCATAAAAAAATATTTTTTGATCGATAAAATCGCTGATTATTAAACCGGAAGTGTCTTCTCTGAGGTCCGCGAAGAAGATGAAGAAAACATATAAAGATTTCAGTCATTTCAAATTTGCCGTCGATTTGGTTTTAAATGGTTCTAAATTATCTTTGAATGCTTACTATGACTTCTATAAGTACTGTTTTGACTTCCCCACTTCATAAAAAGAAGATTATCACCTTTTACTCGACTCATAAATTTACTTCCGGTCTACCGAGAAAAATAATAGTTTGAACCTTTTCAATCCTCAGTCAAGATTTGAAAAAAAACTTTTTGTTTATTTTCTGGAAAAGTGCTACTTTTTGCCATTTATGTTGGTTTTTAAAAAAGGAAAGAAAATCGATATATACTGAAGGCTGGATAGTTTGAACCTTTTCAATCCTCAGTCAAGATTTGAAAAAAAACTTTTTGTTTATTTTCTGGAAAAGTGTTACTTTTCGCCATTTGTGTTGGTCTTGAAAAGGTATGAAAATCTATCGATAGGCTGAACTCTGTTAAGTGTTACTTTTGGCCATTTGTGTTGTTTTTGAAAAA